ACACAAAATAATAATTTTGAAGTAGTGTGAATGTTAAATCATACTAGAAGAACGACACTGTAAATGAACAGTGAAGAAAACATAGTTAATGAGAAAGCAAACTTTCCATAAAATGAGATCCATCTGGTTGTTTCAATATACAACTGCATTTGAACAGATTAGTGACTACAGCTATGACTATGCTAATGCAGTATGGAAAAGAACTAAAAAGAAACTAATTTCCTAGGAAACATGTAATCACCGAAGTTGACTCTTGACTCTCTTACTTCCAAATGGACCTGCTGAATGTATTACCAGATGTAATTATGACTATTCAAAAGATTATTCTGAAATTAAATTTATCTCTGCAAATGTACCTTACTGAAGAAGACTGCATCGTAGATGGAAATATTAGGTTGGAATTCCCCTGATGAAAGTAGAGCTAAGCCTTACTGAATCCTACTGGTTTGCCAACCAGCATGTTACTGCTTGTTCAGACCGTTTTCCCCATCAGTGATCATCATCTGAGATCTGCTTAGAAGGTTAAGAAATCATCATCCTTCCTCTTGCCCCTCCTTTGGCCAGTTGCAGAAGAATGTTTATGAATAACAAAGAATTCAGTCTAAATTAAGCACTCGTCTTTATAGAGTATTTATAAGCTTGCCTAAATGTATTTCATTTACAATTGGCTATCAACAGAGGTTTGTGGGAATTAGAGGTTTTCAAATCCACAATGTCAGCAGTTTGTTGCTCTCCCTTTTTTCCTGTTAAAAAAAAAAAAATGGACCTAATTGAAAGACCACATAAACCAAGAGGAGAATTCCTATCAATCAGCTTCAAGGAGTTTTGAATAAAATTTCATATGCCATGGTATTTGGAAACTTTTTATCTGAATAAATTCAATTGAAAGTTTACGAAAGTTATGCTCTGAAAGCTGGATGATGTAAAATAAGTTTGGTCTCATAGGGGCTCCTGTAGATAATTGGCAATGTTAGAAAAAAACTGAACAAGGACAACAAAAATCCCACTGATATTAGTTGATGTGGTTTTGTTTCCATTTCTCCTTATGGTAGCAATATTGGAATAAATTTGCTACAATATCTGCTTTTAATTAAAATCACAGCAATGTAATGTATGCAGCTCAGGGTACCTGGACTAGAGGAGCTGCTGTGAGCAAGTCCAGATAGTAAAATCCCCATAGGATCATTGATTTCAGTGTGAACCACAAGTCACAAGACCAGTTTAAACTCACTGGAAGATGTTTCTAATACTCCATATTGGGTCATTGGACTTTTTACCATAAAATCACATTTTCTTTTGGTAATTTCCCATTCTCTTCTGATTCATCTCCTGCCACATTTCTCATCAAGTGAGCAGAGTTCACTGATTCAGTCAGGGTTTTCCACGGCAGCAGCTTTATCAGCTCCGTGGGTGACTCAGCGTAACCCATGATGTTCAGTAGTTCAGCAGGGAAAGAAATGACTGATTTGCAGTCTATCCAAGCAGTTAACTCTGCTGGCTATTAGGACTGAAGAAGAGTTGAGAAATTCCTTTGAAATATTTTGCAATATTAGTTTCTTCTTTTTTTTCTAAAGTTCTTTGTTACTTGCCTATAAGCTTCCTTCATACACATTTATTAAAGGAAAAAATGATCCATCCAGTGTGCATAACGCTGACATTTATGAAGAATGCACTGTTGCCATTTTGAACAACAGAGCTCATGCACACAACTGCGACTTTGCCATCTCCATTTTAATTTTCTCTGTAGAAAACTGTTCCGTGCTGTAAAAACAGTTCTGAACATGATGTGATTAACCTCAGGGTGCCCCGTCCCCTCATCTCAGAGCCCACCTTGTGCATGGCCTGTGCTTTCTATTCATGTTCAACCATCTGATTTCCATATCATCCCGCTCACCCTCACAAGCTGCTATTAGCATAACAGAGCCTTGGTGTGACATTGATTGAAGCCAGCGCTTGCTGAATGCAGTATCAAAGCATAATTTGCCAGAAATCAAATCTAATTTACTGTGTACTGTATTTAAATTTCTCAAAAAAAAAAGAAATGTTTCAATAGAAGTGCACTAGGTCTGTAGTTTTAATTGTTCTTTTTTATTATTTTTGTCTAGTCCCCTAGAATCCAAACAATACATTCCCTTTCAGAGCTACTGTCATTGACTTTCAAATGTCAATTAAACAAGAGTTTTTCCACTCTGTTTATTCCAATCCAGTTAATGTTACATCTGAAACAATGAAGGGTAATGGTTTGATAGGCACAACACTTGGATTGCTCCTTCATAACAGTTTCTGCAACAGATTTTTCTGTTTTCATTAATGTTTAGATTGAACTAAGCATCAAACTAGTACATAACTTTTACAGCTGAAGCCTTTTAAGCCTTCTATTATTTCCATTACCTTACCTTTTAAAAATATGTTTTTAAAAACTATGTGTTTTCAGAGACAGAATGCAAACTTACTTTCATTAGGTTTTGTCCATGGTTCTAATGATGCTGGGCTTTGAGCAAGTCAACAACCCCATGCCCTTCTTCCTTCCGCTGGGCCGTCTCAGAGCACCATCTGCTTAACCCTTCCCAGTTCACCAGGAATGTCTTAGGCACTGCTCTGTGAGCTTGGGCATAATCAAGGGGATGGGGGCCTGGCACCTCATAACAGAGAGATGAAGTTCTTGTGGCCACCCATACTGGAGCATATACGTAGGACTCTGTTACACAGTTCCTGTCAAATGCAGATATAACACCTGAAGAGACTGGAGATTTTCTGTTCTCTCTCCTCTGCCTGAGGTTGCTATTGATTGTGTATTAATATCCTGGTCAGTGAACATCTGTGGCTAAGCAGCAAGTGCTGAACTAATTCAGTGACCTTTATTAAGTGGGTGGTCAGGACTGCAGAGGTACCTTAGGGTAAGATCTGCCTGGAGGAATTTTCATTTTCTAATCCACAGCTAAAGGGCCCCTCTCTCTCTTTCTTTCTCTCCTTATGTAGTTGAATGAAGGAGTATGTGCGTGGTGTTCTCACTAGTGCCCATAGTGACTGTATCTGGGTATGCCAGGTAAAACAAGGCGAGGCAGAAGTAAGTAACATGGCTACAGTTCAGCCTTTGGGGAATAATTTAGGCCAAGTTGAGATCTCAGAATACATGGAGCAACACTTAGGCCCCTATAGAAGCCTCAGAATGGATGTCTGCAAATGCTGTGGGAGCAGGAGCCCGTTACCTGTGTCCCTTGGAGACGTTAACACCTGCTGAGGCCCTTGGAAGAGCTGGAAACTTCTGTCTCCAAAGAGGCCAAATCTGTGCTCAGGAATACAAGACAGAAAGATGATTATTTTTATTGTCTTCACTCTCCACCTTCTAAATCAGCAGCTAGTCTTGCCATCCAGATGCTTTATAATTCTCCACTTAGAGTGCATTATATCAGGGCAATTCAGCTTGTGCTCTTTAGACTCCTGGTGGTGTGTAAAGCCTCAGGAAATAGCTGCAAAGTGTGGTTCAGAGCATCAAATCTGCATACATTTCTATGCAGTTGGCAGATCTGTGTCTGTGCCTGTCAGCAGGTGTAATCGGAAGCTGGGGCTTGATTGCTTTTCGTACCTAATTAAACAGTTTGTAATTATAATGGTGAAAATACAGTTTTCTAAAACACTTAAATTTTATTTACCTGAAAGCTTAGTAGTTCTTAAACCATCCCTCTCCCCAACTACCACAACAATAGTGGAGTAGAAGAAAACCAATGAACCAGTGTGTCTTCTTCCCTCCTCAACCTGCTCTCAAAAATTAGTCGGTCTTTTGAAAAACAGAAAAAAAAAACAAACAAAAGAAAAACATTTGTAAATACTGCTTATGTTGTTAGGGTATGTCATACACTATAAATCCAATTCCAGTAAACTCCAGCTCTGAAACAAGTTTGGAGGGTTGCTTTTGGAGGGACTTGCTTTATCACGTGCTCGATAGAACTATGATGTCAAGTTATTGGTTTTTTCTCTATAATCATCCACCAGTACTTCTTCCCATTTCCTTCTGCATATTAATTCATTTCCTCTCTTTTCCTGCTCCCATCCACTGGCTCTATTGACTGCCTATTTTCCGTCAATGCTCCTAGACAAATCACAACACACCTCTCTCTTTGAAACTGCTCAACTCTGACTGTGCTCCCTGATCCCCCATGTTTAGATACTGTTAACACTATCTACTTGAAAACCTAGGCAGTCCTTGTTCTTCTTTCTGATTTTAACTGTACTTTTTCCATTTTTCTTTTCTTTGTCTCCTCCTGATCTCCTGGAAATCCTGTTCCTCCCTATTCATTCCTCCCTGTTGCCCACTTACTCTTCACCTCTTGCTTCTTTCTAGTCTTCCAACAAACTGACACCTAGATATTCCTACTTCTTGTTGCTTTGACATCCTTTTCTCAGTAAATCCTCTTTCTCACTCCCTTCTTGCTCACTCACTTTGAACTCTGCCTTGAGCTTCTACCCTTCGATTCAGATCTTCCCCTACTTTCTCAATCATTTTTGAAAATCTAGAGAGGAAGACTGGAAAAGGAAGTCTGTATATTCTGATTCATATACTGCAGCTAGCAGAAAAGGCTGTGCTGACTCCCTCATAACAATAAGCTCTGTGAATGCAGAAGGTGTAGGGATGCCTGTCCTGTCCAGATGACTCTTAAGGAGAAGTTAGCATTCACTCAGAGTCTGCATCGTACAGGTGTGACTGCGCTTCCTTCATATTTATTGTCGTCAGAGTATACGCCAATATGTGTCTGTAAGGCTTTCTTTCATTTTTTTTTCAGCTGGGGAGATCATATATTGATATCGCTGCTTTTTTTGTTGTTGCTGTTGCTGTTGTTCTTGTTTATATATTTTTTCTGTCTGTCCTAATTAGCATATCTGGTGTTATGTCCTCTGGCACAAAATAAATCTACATAATGTTGTCTCATTCCTTCAGTATTCTTCATCTCCCACTTGAAAAATATTCTAAATTTACACCATGTTTTTTTCTTGCGTTGTAGCTCCCCCACAGTTTGTGGTGAGACCACGAGACCAGATTGTAGCCCAGGGTCGAACTGTGACTTTTCCTTGTGAAACTAAAGGAAATCCCCAACCAGCTGTTTTTTGGCAAAAAGAGGGAAGCCAGGTAAGTTATAAGCACCTTTCGAGCCTTTCAAGCCTTTCAGCCTTTCAAGCGTTTCTAAATAATTAGTTGTGTTAAAAAGTTTAGGAAAGTTATCTGTATTATCTTTCATATTTTTTTCATCTTTCATGGGGATCTTGTCATTTAAATTGTCCTATCCTCTACAAACATTTTATTGCCTTTTTTTCCCCCCTTTTTTTAAATGTTAACGCTGTGAAGAACTCAAAGCCATTTAAGTTACTGCAACTTGTGCTAGATGCTGTATAAATGTATAGAGACCAATGCATGTATCTCAAAGAAAGAGTTTTGTTTCTGGAGCATCCAAAAACAGGTGGATGAAATGAACATGGAAAGGTATGGCTCAATTTTTAACTAATCAGAGTCAGTAATTACAATTCACAACCTGTCTAGACATGATCAAAGAGTTACACGTCTAGCAAACTGATTTGCATTGGCAGATTCTCACAGTGCATACAAATATAGGTGTTGAAGGCACAGCTGGTTTCTTCTTACTCTCCACAAGGGAAAGTTGGGTGTCCAGTGGCAGAGCTTTCACAGCTCTCTCATGAAGCCTGGCATGGCTCTTTATCTCTAGTGCCTGCTGTTGTCCTTTGGATCCATGAGTCTTTCAGAGCTCTGTGCTGCTTTTTCCTATTTGGTCATATATGAGTAAGCTCAAGCACCCACACTGTGCTGCACAGTACAGAGATGTTTTGTGGTCTCATCTGGAAATCTTCGATGTAGCAAGTTAAAAAGTGAGACAAGAACTGAACCTCAGATCTCCCCTTTTGCCCCACCTGCTTGTGCTTCAACTCATCATCAAGTCAGCTAACGGGCTACAGTGTGCGACCTCAGATCTCCCCTTTTGTCCCACCTGCTTGTGCTTCAACTCATCAAGTCAGCTAACGGGCTACAGTGTGCCCTTCATACCCATCTGTGAGCACTAAGGACTTGATCCTGAACTCAAGTCTACCTTAATGCACTCATGCACTCAGAAGGAGCTATCTTGGAGTCCTTAGGGGTAAGAACAAAGGTTCAGTTACAGACCAAGACTGACAATATTTTGTGCTCCGTTGCATTGCCCCTTACAAAGATACAAGGCTATTATTGTAGGATGCTAAGCTTAGTCTTTGATGAGTTTCTTTGATGAGTTATGCAGAGAACTTCCAATTCCATGCATCACATACTGGAAAAACACAAAACTCTGAGTCTGGCTAAGGTAAAAATTGTTCCAAAGGGAGACTAGCATGTGTAATTTGAAGTAGGAACCAGTGATGTGCTAGCAAACATTTCAAAAACGCTCCTTGTAGAGGACTTCAATAGCATGGCAATGTTTATGTAAAGTGAGCTTATAGTGTCACACTTGAATCTAATAAAGTAGACATCCATCATGTTGTAATAAAGAGAAGGACTTCTAATTAAAGTAGGACATCATTTGCAGGATTAAAGTCATTTAGCGTAATTGAAAAGTGTTAATACTCTATTTTATCCTCTTCCATTGGTATCACTTCAAGGGTAAAAACATTTTAAGGTGAAAATGCATCTTGTGTCTTTAATTGAATGTTATTACCTACTGATTGTACCACGTTGATGCTGTTTAATTACAAACCTGGAAAATTAATTACCATATTGAGAACCAGATCCCTGAGGATTAGAATGCTCTTTTTTGGCAAATAAATGCAACATAAAAATTGATACCTACATTGTTTATAATCAAACCTTGAAACATAGCTCAAAGTGATTCATTATACCCACATGTTATTCTTAATTGAGTATCAGTGAAGTAACAGAGGTCAATGTTGCTATCCGCAATAAAAAAACTTCCCAGATTTTGAATGATTCCCCATTGAATGGCTAATTTCTACATGGCATATTTCATCCTCAGAGTCAAGAGGATGGTATTTTGGCCACACTTAAGCACTGTCCACTGAGCTTGAGGCACATTTTACCTTTTTTTGTGCCTGGCCACAGGTTGTTGCGTGGGCTAGATGGTAACAGGCACTCTCAGCTCCTGCTAGGGAAGCTATGCTGCAAGCTGTTTCTGCCCAGAGAGGTTGTGGAGTTTCCTTCTCTGAAGATCTTCAAAACCTGCCCAGCTGTGACCCTGTGCCAGATGTCCCTGTCCCTGTCTCTGGGTGTCCCTGCTGGAGCAGGGCGGTTGGACTAGATGATCTTGAGGGGCCCCTTCCAACCTCAACTATCCTGTGATTGTGTGACTTAAAATGCTTGCTTCTCTTCTTCCTCTCGAGGAACCACTCGCAGTGCCACCCTTAGTGTTCAGCATAGTGCCACGTAGCTCTGTGAGCCGGCGACGGCACGACGTTTTTCATCCTGGGTCTGTTTCCACATCCTGTATTCCTGAGCACAAGCAGCTGGAAGGGACGGAAGCAGTTCCCCCCCAAGTCAGCTTTGTGCTGACCTGTGCACAAACAGCTGGTCCGTTGTGTTTGGTGGCCTCTTCCCCTGAGGCTGGCAGCCACACGCCAGGGAAACGCACCGGGGCCCCAAGTACGGAAACCTTAAACGCTCGGGGTTAACATCTCCTCTGAGATAAATCTAGAAGGAGGTGGCGTCGTGCCATGGCTCCTCTCTTTGCAGCCCAGCAGGCCACCATTGTGCTTGGATAAGCAAACCAGGGAAATTGTAAAGACCTTAAAATAGTAGGGTCTGCTGTTAGGACAAGTCACAAGTCACAAGCTGGTCCTTGAAAGGGGGAGTTGGGAGACCCATCAACTCCTACTGAAGCTCCTACTGTGGAAAGCGGCCACTAGGACTCCTTAAGATCAGACTGGCCTGTGCTGAAGATTAAAAACAGGATAGATTCTTCTTTTTAATACAGGTATTAGTAGGATCTCTACCTTTTCCTTCTGAAAAATCCGGGATGTGTTCCTTGACTGTCTTCTACATTGTGTTTCCTTTTACCATTTCTGTAATGAGCAATGAATGAAGTATGCCTCATCAAAATGATCTGCTTTCTCATAAAATTTCACTAAGTTTTCAGAATTCCTCCGTTCAATAGGTATTTGCGCAGGCAGATGTTTTTATGCAAGTTTCAAGGCAATCCAGAAAACAGAGCAATTTTGGGGAGACCCAGTTAGCACCATAGCCTGAAAATGTTTCAGAACTTGCACACTTTTGTATTGAATCTAACATGTTTACTGGGTGCATATTGATTTTTGAGGAAAAATTTGCATTGGAAAATAATATTGAACTTTGATATGAAACGGGAGGAAGAGACTCACCCTAGGGTATTGCATTAGCCTAGCAGGTTAATACAATTATGAGAAGATCTGGAGTAGTCTCTGATTTAAAGCATCTCTCTCACACACTTTTTTTTTTTTCCCCAAAAAAAATTAGGCGTTGAAAGTATCATTTTCGCTTCAAAGTGGAATTTTTTTGAAATGCAAGCTTACTGGTTCCCAATCCCAAAGCATTTTCTGTAATTCAGAAATATAAATGCTGTATTACTTTTTCTCTAAATTTTCTCTCCCTCTCAAAAGAGGCAGATCTTTTTAGCCCTCATCCGCAAACTTTAAAGTTGGTGGGTGTCCTTATTAGAAAGTAAAGCAAAACAATGCAGAGCTGCAGTAAAGACTGAAAGCTTATGCTAGCATGGGATCAGTGTTTGTGGATATTCCTGATACAAATAATTGTATTTTTATAGAGGCTTGTTCAATCAACAGTATGCTTAAGCCAGACCCAATTTTCCTGAAATTTACCAGTTCAGTACTGCCCTTTAATCTGCCTTCCCTGTTCCCCTTCCAGCCTCCTCAGGCAGCTCTACCAACCTCTCTACACACGTTGCCTCCCTCTTCCTGCTCTTTTTTCACATCAAGGGCTTTGCCGGGTGGCATAACTTCTCCCTTTAAAGTACAGCGCTCACCTCTAAAACCTCTTCAGTCCCTGCCTGTGTTACTGATTCATTCAGTCCTTGATCATGTTCGATGACCACTGCATCCATTCTAGTTATTCTTATTGACATCTTTCTTTTCTCCATACCAGCCCAAAGGCAAAAGCTAATCTCCCTGTTCTGTGTTAACTATGATGCCTTACCCTACATGAAATTATTTTTCTCTCTGATGATTTCCACATCAGATTTATACCCCTTCTCTTCCCCTCAAGGCTCCATTCTGCTTTTCTCATTTGGTGTATCTCAGTTTTAATTTCCTGCTACTCCTCCTTTAAGCTCTCATGTTCTGCCAACTCCTCCTGCTTTATGACCTGTTTGTGTCATCCTCCTAGGTTTGCTCACATGCCTTGCATTTACTTTCTTTATTTGGCCCAGAATCATATTCACTGCCAAACAATAGCCCTCAAGTCTCCAGAATTCAATTCTTCCTAGTAGTTATCTAATGTTTACTTTGTTATTAGATCCTCCTGGTTTGACAGCCAACTAAGTATATTATTAAATTCAGAGTGAAGATAAATGTGAAACATGTACAGATCACTCAAGTGTGATTGTTGGAAAATTTCTCCTTGCATAAGGTCCCCAGCCAGCATACAGCCTTGTCTGCTGGCAAAGTGCTGCTGGTAATTTAAACCACAAGTTGCCCAAGGAAGGAAAGTGAAGTTTGTGTGTTCATAAATTTGTAAACCTGCTCGCATTTTCTCTTTGCACTTAAATATAGTGCTTTTAAAGAAAAATCATTGTATCTTTAGCTGAGGGAAAAGCGGCTTATATGTTCTGCATTGATGTGGGTTGAATTGTCTTTGCAGAATCTACTCTTCCCCAACCAGCCTCTTCAACCCAGCAGTAGGTACTCAGTGTCGCCGACAGGAGACCTCACTATTTCCAACATTCAGCGGTCTGATGCGGGCTACTACATTTGTCAAGCACTGACAGTTGCTGGAAGCATCTTAGCGAAGGCTCAGCTGGAGGTTACTGATGGTGAGATATGGAAACTTCTATTGTTTTGGGGGGATTTTTCCTGTCAAAAGCAAAATAGTTAAAGACATTGTAAATACAAACACATGAGATCATGTAATTCCTACAGCTAAACACACAAGTTTGTTCAGACGATACAATGAAAATGGTTCTCATTACACAGTTCTCCGTCGTATGAAAGAGGCATCAAATTCGGATTTCCCTTTTGCATTCTGTCTGATGCTCAGTTCACTAGAGCGAAGATGATGCTGCAGAAACATATTGTGAAGAATGAATAGCTTTGTGATTAAAACAATGAAATGGGCTGCAGAAGAACTAGGCTCAATTCCCATCTCAGCTCCAGTCATCAGTTTTACCTTAGGCAACTAATCTGGGATGTGTCCTTGGTTTGAGTAAATCAGCACAGTTCCCTTGAACTCACTGGAGTTTTGTTAATTTAGAACAGCTACAATATGTAGCCCTTTACTCCCTGGGTGAGTAAGTCACAAGGATATTTTCCTACCTCAGAAGTGTTCTTTTAAAGAATTTCGTAATAACCTTAGGTGTGAGAAGAACTCTATAAATATATAGGTAGAAAAGAGTTGACAGGAGAGGAAGGAAAGGAACAGCACTGCTGATCTGAACTGATGCTTTCCATTTCAGAATTTTGGTTTTGAAAATCGTTGTACATTCCTGCGTGCCTTACTCCATATATAAACATGAAGTCTCTTCCCATTCCGGGAATCTTTTTGATATCCTATTTCCATCATATCTGTGACAGAAGAGGTTTACATTCTTTAATATTAGTAAGGAAAATAAGAGAGTTTCTTTTATACTAGGAGATCATGGCATTGCTGGGCATCATTATTCCCTATCTTAACTGACTCATTAAATATCTCTTGACAGACTTTGATGAATTTTTACCATTAAAACTGTTGTTATATGCAGAGGTCTACTATTACTGTTCCCTTAGAGACCTGCCTGCACCATGAAAGTTTGAAAAGATGTCTAATTCTGAATAATCTGCCTTTTCACAAGAGCATATTCATCACAAGTGACAGGTAGAGAGGTTCAGGCACATGTTATAGAGGTTTGAGCATTAATTTGATGCCTTTCCTTTGTTTTCTAAAAGCTGTCTATATTTTTATGACAAGGGGAGATAATTTCTGCCTTATCCTTGCATCTTTACAAGCACATTGCATTTCCATAGAGTAGTTTTTAGGAGATGAAAGGCTAACCTTCTTTCTGCAATCACTTTAAGTCTTTCCTTTTTCTCTCTTTGACAAAATGCTGCATTTTCATTCAATTCACATTTAAATGTAGATTAAAAGGTCATTTAAAATTAATGGGAAGGCAGTATTTTTTAATATCTGTCCATAGCACTGCCTGATGCAGTGCCGGGACTGTGATTGGAATAAACAGAATGCACAAATATTGGCCGAGAGGACACTGAGCTGTTAATGGTTGCACCTGCTGATGCTGTGCAGATTTACTGCAGCAGGGGCCGAAAGGGGCAAATCAGGTTCAAGGATATCAGTGATGAGAAATTTTTCCTTTTGATGGACGAGGTCTGCGGTCCATCTCTATCTATTTGTATGTGTGGAAAATAAATACATAAATAAATAAATAAATATAAAAAATTGACTTCTTCAGAATTTTCAGCAGTTTATTTAACAAGTCAACAGCAAGCTCATAAAGGTTTCCCTGCTAAAGTGCAAACTGAACCATGATTGCTTCTGCTTAAAGGCACTGTGCCTTCTGCATTCCTGAAGAGGGCATTAGTTGTCGGCGCTCCTGCTCGGGGAGGGAAAGGGCTGCGTTCTTAAAACGCTTCCCTGAGCCTCCTGTCAGCACGATCACTGTGAAATTAGGCAAGGTTGCTTTATAGAAAGGCCATTTCATCCTTAAGTCACCCTGAGGTGAGGTCGAAAGAAAAGGGCCATAACCATATTGTGGGACTGACCGTGGGATTATACAACTAAATGTAACGTTGGGTCGCAGGTATATTTTGATTGCTTTCACTTAGGAAGTTGACCATAAATATCTAAAGACTCTGTTTGTGTGGATGCCGAGCAGAAATTATAGAAAGTAATGATTTTTATCAGTAGGGAAATTTAATCTCATGGTTTTAAAAATATAATAAAAAATAAATGCTGCACATGCTGGCCATATACTTAAGCATCAGTATTCTACTTTTTGGCTGGTGATTTCAGTTTTACTTCATAGCCCAGAATTTTTCTGTTTGGTTAATGATTTAATAATAGTGGCGAGCCATCTTCTTCATTTTGAATACATTTTTGTTTGATCCAGAGTAATTTAAATCCAATTGAAGTTCCAATACAGAATGAAAACATATGTCATGTGCAGAAAAACAAGTGCTTAATTATACCATATATAGCAGGGTTTCAGTTGTTACATTTTTGCACTTACAAGTCTTTACTGGAAATATTTTTAACTCGAGTGCTCACATGAGAAGAGATTACTAGCTGTGATGATATGTGCTGAGTTGAGTGATAATTTTGCTGATTATGGACTGTACTGAGAGCCTTCAGTGAATTTGAAATTCAAATCTTGTATTTTCTTTAAAGACTATCATATAAGCCACAGTCTAGTGCACATCTGGAAAACCAAAATCATTTTAAAAATTGAGACAATCTTAGTGATTCTTTCAAAAACAAAAGTAAATATGCAGCTCACAGTTCTTAAATGACAGGTCGTGCAAATATCCTAAAAGACTCCATCTAACCGTGCCTGTGTGTGTGGTAAAAAGATAAATCCTGTTTGCTATAAAATTATAATAATTTACTATTAGTAATTTATTCAATAAATTTATCCACCACGCACAGAACATTCGGCAGAAGATCCTGTGGTTCGAAGTTTGTGGGTTGTGTCTCATTTTCCCTGTTTGCCAGGGAAATTGACAGGAAAACTTTGAAAATACTGATTTTTGACAGTACCAAAATAAAGTTAAGACTTAATTTTGTTATTTTCTTTTTTTTTTTTTTTAGTTTCACATTGCAATTTGACCAAATTTTACCCAACTTTAAAGATGGCTTCCGTAGGCCCAAATTGCATTTGTGGCAAATAATAAAATGTTCATTAATGAAGATAATTTATTCCACTGTTACAATCCATTCAGTTGTTCAGCTGCATTTTATTACAAAAGGCATGAGATAATGTTTCAGTTATCAGAATGTGTAAATATATTGTTGCTTGCAGATAGGTCCAAAAATAGTGAAATTCATTTTATAATTGACTTTTCTTTAACTTTGCAAATATAATTTGGTCACACAAAATGCTCCTTTAGCAGAAATATAGAAGTTTTTGTGCTAAGATAAAGCAATGTAAAATTTAAATTAAAAAAATGAAACATTGTAAAAGAAATTAAAACTGCCCCCAACTTTTTTTTGTGGATATTTTTCACTATTTTTCTGTCCTGCAGAATGCTTGTGCCATACGTACATATTTGTAAAGCTCTGGTCAAGTTTTGCTTCCTTAATCATGATGAGACCTATGCAGTAGGCATACAAGAGAGTGTGCACACATTTTAGAGAAGATTTACAAGTCCTAGCTGTGAAAACAGTGCAGTTGTTCACAGATCACTGGAAACCCTAAGTGTTCATTTAACCTTTAGCCTTAGTGTCATGGAAACCTGTAGTAGTCTTTCACCCATAACACCCTTGAAAATGAAGATTCCTTCTGGCCAGGAGACTTTCAATTACTTTATTGATCAAAGCTATTTAGAGGATTATGAGCTCCTCATTTGGGCTTTAAAAAAACTAATTAGATGCCAAAGGACAATATCTGTGGTGCAGTAGGCTTTAAAAATACCTTCACTGCCACGCATATTAGTTGCATCAAGTAACTACAATGAAATAGGTAGAAACCTAAGCAGTTCTACCTTTTTCTTAGTTCATATTTAGCTAGGTGAGTGGGAGTTAGTTACTGTTCTACATTAAATCTAAATAAAAACAAACAAAGCAAAATTTTCACTTCAATATACCCTGGCTACAGGTATGCTGATGGTAGGTATGAACTGAGCTTTCACCAAATGACTGAACTATGTAGTCATAAGGAACCTTAGTGAGATCAAAATTTTTGTGTCAAGGTGAAAATACATTATGTTTTGTGTTTTCTTGTAATATAGTACTTTCTATCTCATCTCTGAGTTCGGTGAATGCTATTTGAGAATTTCCAAAATAGCATTAATTTTCTGCGTTAATCTAGATTTGCTTCCCATTTTTAGTTTTCAGTTCCAACAAATCTGATGAACTAACATTGCAAGGTGTTACTAATGCTGATGATTCTGTCATCTATCTTGTAAAGAAAGGAAATTAGTATCTTTGCAAGGTCAGAATTTCAGTAACTGTTATTGTAAATATAAACTATGTCACTAGCGTATCTTTCACACTTCCTTTTTATTGAATAGCATATTGAAAATACTTTGGATCTATTGAAAGTTTCAGAGGGTCACATTTTGAGCAGTTCAAGTTGAAAAGAAACGACATTGCTTCAGGATAATTTATTTTGATTTTGCTGTTAGAGTCAAGTATTGTGTCTGGACTGCAATGAACCATATTCTCAGCTAGAATGGAGTGTTAGAACACAGTTGCCTTTCAGGAAGGCGGGCTAATTTACACTCTCATCTGAGAAGCTTGTCCTGTCAGGTAAAATATTTAGTATCAATCAGATATTGTTCAGTTATTCAAAGATTTAAAACAGCAGCAATGTGGAAAGTAAATATATGAAAAGGATTTTTCTGTTCTGTTTGTTAGCCTGTTTTTATGAAGGAGTCATAGCCTGGTTTGTGTTTGAATATTTCACCCTCATTTTATATAAACAAGTTCTTTAAGAACAAAGAGTTCTATTTTTGCTGCTTACTTCAT